TCGTGTCGCACCCGCTGCTGCTATCATCCGGAAAGAACAGCCAAAGTCGGCGGTGGCGGCTCCGGTCGCGGTGGCGGCGGTGGCGCAGTCGGTGGAGGGGGGGTGCGTATGCCCCGCGGATCGCGCAAGAAGAAGCTGTACATCGGGAGCGGAGATCGCGCTGTGCCTCAGGTATTTTTATGTCCTCGTCCTAGTTGATATCCTCCTGTTTTGTTTTGTCACTACGTGCGCTGTTGTGGGGGAGAATCGTGGTGGATCGACACGGCCTCATTATGCTAGACAATAAGGACAACAACGACATTTGCTTGTCATGTGCATACCAAAGTCAACGCTAGTCGACGCTCTTTTTTGCCGTCGTGCTGCAGGCGCCTTACCGTGCACCGTACATATCGGAGTCGACATTTTATTTTTTTGCCCAGGGCACGAACAAAGGTATTATAGCTCCTGACAAATCACGTGGGCGTATTCCAAGACACGTCCGTGGCAGCTGACTGACACCAGCGAAGTGGTATATCTGGCACATACATACACCGCTGTGTCGTGCTTCCCAGGACGTTGCGGTGCGAATAGATCGATCGGGATATAAACGCGTTCTGTTTAGCCTATACTAGGCTCCTCTTTTTCTGTGGAAGAGATGAGATTAATTTGTTGTGTAAAGTAAATAAAATGCGGTCCCCGGGGTAAATTGTCGGCGCGTGCAGGGGTCGGGATGTTGATCTTGAGTACAACCGTGAAAATCGAAAAGCGCTACACGGACTTCAGCAGCAGCAACAGCAACAGCAACAGCACCACTGGCGCCTTTCAGAAAATAAGATTCGTTACAAGGAAACTCACTTTTTTTTCGTCATGCCATTTGTTCTCGTCGTCGGTCCTTTCGCCTTTCGGTACAATTCTTTGACGCCGATTTTTATTTTTTAAATTGGTCTTGGCTTCCAATCAGCCCTTACAGCCCTTGTGCCGTTTACTCCAACCCGTGGTCACACAGAAGGGTTTTCCCCTACCCTACCCGCCCCTATCTGCGGTTCTTTGCCTTAGAATTTTATTGCGAGGAGAGTGCGGCACTCTCTTCCCTCGACGATGCTTCAAGACGGAAAAATACATTTATTCTCTCGTCTCGTCTGGCGGCGTTATTTTTATTTAGGCTTGTTCTCCGCAGGCAATTTCCTTTTGTATTTTTGTTGTCGATTTCGGGTTTTGTTCTGAATATAGAGTGGAGGAAAAGTCGGTGTATCTTAATCGCGTTTTTTTTTTTTTTTGTCCGCCTTCACCTTTGTTGCACCAGACAACCGAGCAAGAGCTCATGTCCTCGATCAAGCACGCGCTGATGAGCGCCGGCAGGGAGTACTGGGACGAGTTCACGAAGGTGCTGCAGCTGCAGAAGCTGGAGGTGCTCGCGAGGGACGAGATGCTCCACCTCGTGTCCGACCTGCTCGAGAGCAACCACCCGGAGCTGTACGCGGAGTTTAAGAGGATGGTCAAGGAGGCTGTGAGTTTGAGAGCATTGGTTTTTGTTTTCATCATGTTTGTTGAGGGAAATTGTACCGCGTAAACTACGTTTGAAAATATATATATATTTTTGTCGTTTGAAAATATATATATATTTTTGTCGTGTTGAGGAGGTTTAATTTGTAATGCGGTACGTTTGAGAACCGTTTTTTGTGTCGTTTGAGGAAGATCTCCCTTGTGCTTGTTTTGTGGGACTGTGTCAAGACATCAAAATTGGTCGCGTTTTGACGTCTTGCCTCGTCAAAAGAGTAACCATTGCTTGTGTTTCCTACCGCTGCCGTCGATGGTGTCATTGTTTCCTTCGATGCACTTGTCGTGCAGTAACCCAATAATTTTTAGATACCTTGGTGGTTAACATGGATCACACAAACATAATTTAATCCGATCCCGCGTGATTGTACCTTCGTTCGCTGCTACACTATGGTCCCTGTCGCCCCCCCCTCCCTCGCGGTGACACCACGAACCTACCTCTGTTGCCTCCTCCGACCGGGTGGCTGCCTCTGCGCTTGGATCGATCAATGATCTCGACCTCCGATCTCGATCTCCGAACATGTTTGTTCCTTGGGAACGGGTGCACTGCTTTCCCTCCAACGCCCGTGTCTTGGTTCGTTCCCACACGGGGGGGGTGTTACGGAGACAGTCCCAGCAGGGAGAAGTCAACGAGATTGCGTCAGAGGTGAGTAGGGGAGGAAAACGCGGGGTAATAAGAGCGAAACGGTACACGTTGTCCCGGTCTTGGGTACTTCGCGTTCTTGTGTTTCAGGTAGCTTCCGCTGATGCTGTGAATTCATCGCTAATCTATCTTAAGACTCTTTTCTATAGACTGGAAGATAGGGATGGATTCGTTGTGTCAGCGGAAGTGAGGGCTTACGCCAGGGTAGAGGTTCATGGTTCGTGGGCTGAGGGTGAACTGCCGCAGTAGCTCTGCATGTGTCAGCAACAATTTTGTTGCCGAAAGTTAGGCGGTCCGCCAGCAGTGGTTGGGTGCTCGTTTGGCTAAGGGTGAACTACCCCCAGTAACCCTGCGAGTGTCAAGCACGCGGAGGTATACGTGCGAAGAAAAATGGCACTGCTGTTCTGTTCACCACTTTTTTTTCAATTTGACTTGGTTGTTGTGGAGCAAGACGCCTCCCAGACAATGTGCAGGCTACGGATCTAGCTAAAATGTCATGTTATGGTAATAACTGTTTCCTCGACGTCTTTAGATCGTCCTGGATTGCTTGTAGGAAAAGCCTGACGCAAGACTACTGTGCTAGCGGTAGGTGTGTGTATGGCTTCGTCCTCGTTCGTATGTTCTGGTACAACGCAGCAGCAGCAGCAGCAGCAGTGGTCCCTTTTGAAGAGTGACCGCCGTGTAAACGCCGGTCGCCATGTAATAAGGCCGGTGAAATCGCGTGCCAGATAAAATGTTCAAGTCTCATGCTCTGAATAGTGCCTGTCGCCATGTAATAAGGCCGGTGAAATCGCGTGCCAGATAAAATGTCCAAGTCTCATGCTCTGAATAGTGCCTGTCGCCATATATGAGGCCGGTGAAATCGCGTGACAGATGGAATATTCAAGTCTCATGCTCTGAATAGTGCCGGGTGCCCGGTGTACACGCCGCCAAAAAGCGTGACACTATTCGTCCATTTACGAAAGAACCGCTACAGAGTATTTGTAGCGATGTGACAGCGTTTTGTGCCTACCTGGTTTCGTTCAGCCCTCGGAAGTTCCTTCAGACCTCGTTCTTGGTTGACGTGTAGACCAGCTTAACATCAGGCGTGAGCAAAGACACTTTCGTACAGAGCAACTAACGGCCTGATTTTCGCTCTCCTCTTTTTTTTTTTGTCGGACAGATGTGGACCAATACACCTCTGAACGAGCTGGACCTAACGCTTAGCGAGAAGGGCGGCCCCAGCTACCGTCACCTGCCCAAGAACTTCCCGCTGTTGAGCTGCAGCGAGGTAAGGGGCTAAGGGGCTGGTCCTTTGTCGCGGGTTGTTGTTGCTGCTGATGTCCTTTGTCCCCATGGCGCATGAATGCTCGCTGAAGCGGGGCGCCTCTGTTCTTTCCCTTCTGCGAGGAAACATTGCGACCCCCCCTGTTGGCATTTGCATACGGCTAACACCGCCGTATGGACGCCTGTGGGCGCGATCATACATTCCACTTCTGTTTCGAAGTATAGGGAACATGGGGGTGATCGCGCGTTGCGTCTGGGAGTCCTATTTTTCGAGTGCCGAACGACGCGCGTTCGAGTCGATTTGTTTCACTCCCTTCCTCTGCCCAACTTTCGGGCGATTTTTATCGTGCTGGCTTTAGCAAAATCCCGTTCGCGTATTTTTCTCCGCATCCGCCTCTTGCGCGAAGCATGTTCTCACACGACGATTTCTTGCTCGGTCCAATGCTTCCATCAACCCCCTCTATCCCCCAACCTCCTTAGGCTCTTCCATGACGGATGCCTTTCTAGCGCTGGTTGTTTTTCCCCGTACACCCCTCCCACCCAATACAATACCCACCCCTATCTGCGTACCCCCTTAACAGCGTACCTCCCTGGAGCAATCAGTGCTTAACGACTTGTGGGTGAGCGTCCCTGTGGGATCTGAGGGGGGTGGAAGCGACGTGGCCTTCAAGCACATGCGCAAGAACCAGCACGAGGACCTCCTGTTCAAGGCGAGCAGATTGTTCGAGAGCATGCGCTTTGGAGTTTTTCGGTTTAGTAGGCGTCGTTGGTGGAATCAATTTTTTTGGTTCTCCCTCCCCCAAAAACTAGAGGCGAGAAAACAAATACGTTAGATACGATTAGATTCCACAAAGACACACGCGTACGATAAAAAGAAAAAGACCCTCACACACACTATGTTGTTTGTTCTTTGAGCGTGGCGTAGAAGAGGTATTTCGGTGGAAGAAATCGCAAGACGCCGGCTCCCGTTGGCTTGGTCGTGTTTCATGCCGTTGTCGCTTGCAACCAAAGTAGAGGAGAAACGATTACAACGAGTGCTTGATGATGAACACACTTTTTGTCGAAACCATAGCGTTTTGCGTTGTTTGTACTTTTGTATCCAACCCCCCCCCCCCCCTGTCTCTCTGTATCTATCCCTGTCTCTATCATTCTCTGCTGTATCCTGTTTGTCTTTGTAGTGTGAGGACGAGCGGTTCGAGCTGGACATGGTGATCGAGGCCGGTAGCAGCGCGATCAGCCTCTTGGAGCCCATGGAGGAGGAAATCAAGTGCATCGACAAAACCGCGGGGGTAAGAAAGAGGGAGACAGAAAGAGAGAGAGACTCAGGGATAGACTCACAATAGACTAAAACAAAGATAGAGAGAGGGAGGCAGATACACACACACACACACAGAGAGAGAGAGAGAGAGAGAGAGAGAGAGAGAGAGAGAAACGAAGGTTATGATATCAAGTTTTGATCGACGGACTCCGATCGCTGATAGATTCGATGACGATGTCTATCGGCAGGCCCACGGCAGTGTTTGCATGTTGTCATGACAACACTAGTAGCAGATGATATCGCTTCGGGAACATGGAAGTGTACGACAGCCATGCAGCACAAGGCACCTAGACCCCAACAAAAAACGTTGCGGCAGCCAACGCCATAGTGCAACCAAGAAAAAATACCCACGCAATCCCTAAAATAGCGTTACAGCCGACACGGCAGAATCAGCTGCGCGCCGTCGCGGGAAGTCTGATAGGCTCACAGTCCTCCCGTTTGCCCTTTGTTCTCGGCAGGCTCGCTACCAGTTCAAGCTGGACAGGCGCGTGCTGAGCCCGGTCCAGCTGGCCGCCATCACGAGGATCTACGGAGATCACGGGGCGGAGATCCTGGAGCTCCTGCGGAAGAACCCTTGCAAGACGGTTCCCGTGATTCTGGCCAGGCTGAGGCAGAAGGACGTGGAGTGGCGGGTGGTGAGTCGCTCTCGCTGGTTGTGTTGTGGTCGGTGGACTGTTGCCATTTTTTTTTTGCTTAACCAAGTTTGTCTGCCGTAGCCGGCTGTGTGACCTCTGGAGCATAAAATATGATGCGCTTGCTCGTGATTTTTTGGTTCGTCTTTTAGTTTTTTGCACGCCAGGTTCTAATCTCTGAGGGCACCAGGAAAATGCGAAGACTTAGAGCAGTGAGGTCAACCTCTCTCTTAAGTGTATTTCGGTACGCATATCTTGTTCCAGGAAATACTGAACGTTCTTTGCCCGTCCCTAAAGAGTTTCAACTTCAATCTTTTCTTCCATGCTCGTCTTGGCGATCTCATGGTGATGTGTATACCACGCGGGCACTTTTTTTTGTTTTCTTTCGTGTGGTTCGAACACTATCCTTCCTTGTTTCTTATTTTTTTTCCTTCCCGCGGTTCCGCCCGACTGCAGTCTCGTGAGCGGCTGAACAAGCTGTGGTCGAACGTGCAGCGCAGCACGTACTACAAGTCTCTGGACCGGCGGTCCATCGACGTCAAGAATGAAGACAAGAAGGCTCACTCCGCGAGGGTTCTCGTCGCCGACATCACTCACAGGTGTGTAGGAAGACACGAACACGCCTTCTTGTTGTTCTTGCTGTTCTTATTGTCCTTTTTTCTTGATGTGGCAAAACGAATCCGTCTCTATCCAGTGGTTGGTCAGAGTCACTCACAGGTTTATAGGAAGACAGTGGCAGGTACCGTTTTTTTTCTTCCCCTCCTTCTTGTCGTCTCCTTCTTGTTGTTCTTTTTGTCCTCTTTTCTTGATACGACAAAACGAACCCGTCTCTATCCATTGATCAAAGTCGCTCACAGGTGTGTAGGAAGACACGACTACTCACAGGTGTCGTTCGTGTTCTTCTCCTTCTTGTTGTGCCTATCCTTTTGTTTTTGTTTGACACAACGAATCCATCTCTATCCACAATTAATCCCCGAGACTCTGTTTTCTGTCTTGTTGAAACGGGTGCTGCTCTTTTTTTATGGGACCCCTTCGCGAGTGGTCGGAAAACTAAATGTCCTTCCCCTCGATCTTCTTTTTCACACACGACAATGACAAACCTTAGCTGCCCTCCGCACAGCATATGTTTTGCACAAACGACAACGACGAAGCGAACAAATTTTCCATCGATCTGGTTGTGCAGGCGCACGGCCCTATTGGCGAAGGAGGAGGAGCCCAAGTCTCTGGACAGGGCGGCTCTTGCCGACGCCGCCGGTAAGCGAAAATAAATGGAAATGAAAGAAGAGAATCTCGGGTAGGTAGCCCGCGCTGTCCAAAGTCCCGTGTCTCGGCAATGCTCGAACAGCAGAAGTGCGATGGCTAGGTGTGCATCGATGACCCTTTCAACGCGTTTTACTTCGGTCGCCTCTCTCTCGCGCGCGCGCCCTCTCTCTCTCTCCCTCGCCCTCCTTCTCTCTCGCCCTCGCCCTCTCTCTGGATTGACGACGCTTTCATTCTCCTTATGTCGCCATGTCGCCTTCTCTCTCTCTCTCTCGCCCTCTCCTTCTCTCTGGACGACTAAACCCAACCGATGTCTTGAACGTATTTTTCCTTATTGTCTCCGTGTCTCTGTGGCCCCACCCCTGTCTCTTGTGTGTGTTGCCTCATGCGATGGAACGTGGTTGCTTATTTGTTACTTTGTTGCCTAATCTTTTTGCCAGATGCCGCGGCGAAGGAGGCGGCTAAGGCTTGCAGCAGCAGCGGCGGCGGCGGCGACGAGGATGATGACGTTAAGGGAAAGGGAAAGGGAAAGAAGGTATTTAGTGACCAAGTCGGTCTCGCTCGCGCTGACTTGCGGCCGTTGTGTGTTGATTTTAAGGGGGAGGTTCCGCATAGATGTGGCATTTTTTTTATGTTTTGGGTGTGGATGGTATCCATTTAGGGAAGTACAGAGCCGTCTTGTGACGTACCAAACGTACAAGTAACCTCTCTCGTAGCACTATAATAGGGAGGCCATGTGTTGCAGGTGGACAATGATGGTCGAAGTGACTATGTGATGGGGCCAGCTACAGTACCCACCCTCATCGACGCACCCCCAAATAGCTGAGTACCCCCCCCGGCAGGTAGAATGTGGTGGGG